AAATGGAAGTGTTCTAGCTGCAGTGGCTGAAGCTGCATTTCTTATTGGCCTTGAAAAGAACAGGTTTAATTCTTTTTTCTTTTAATGTAATGTATGTTTTATGAAGTTCTTTTTTTTTTTTTTTACATTAACCATTTCTAACAGTATTTTTTCCTGATGCAGTGATATTGTAGACATGGTTTCTTATGCACCACTTTTCTCAAATATAAACGACAGGAAGTAATTTTCTACCATTTATCACATTTTTTATGTACCCAGAATGAACACTAAAGATTGTATAAGATGAGGTTGATCAAATTGTGTGTGATTTTTCAGATGGGTTCCCGATGCAATTGTGTTCGACTCTTATCAGCTGTATGGAACACCCAGCTATTGGGTGCAAAAGCTTTTTGTTGAGTCTAGTGGAGCAACATTTCTTCCCTCAACACTCAACACAAATTCATCTAATCAACTAATTGCATCTACAATTAGTTGGAAAAATTCTACAGATAACAAAAATTACATAAGAATAAAGGTAAGATTCTGAGTGTTGCTAATGTGCTAGAACCTCAAACAACACAAAAGCATGTCTTTAATTAGACTAGCTCTATTTGTTTCTTTTTTACCTTTGATCAACAAATCTATGTTTGAGTTGTTGATTTTGAGTTGCACAGGTAGTTAACTTCGGAACAGCCATAGAGAGACTCGACATAGGCCTACATGGATTCCCACAGACACAACGATTTGATTGTATAATGACAGTGCTTACATCAACCCATGTAATGGATGAGAATTCCTTCGCACAGCCTACGAAGGTACCACTTGATTTATTGGTACTTCTTTCCGAAAACGTGTGTTGAATACAAAAACTAACATTAATTACTGACATGAAAATATTTGTAATGTTGGCCAAACATCTGAAAAAAGTCGTGTGATTTATAATTGATGTTCTTTTCATTTTAAATGCAGGTGGTGCCACTAACAAGTTCGGAAGGGAATGTTGGAAGCAAGATAGAAGCAATTCTCTCACCCTATTCAGTTACATCATTCGATTTAATTTATTAGAAGACAATTCAACACAAGAACAGTAATGTAAAACATTAAGTCGGTTCCAAAGGAGATTTTGTGCCCTTTTTATATCATCAATAAATTGTAATATACAGCCTATTCCTTTCGTTTAAATTTTTAAGATGTTTCATTTTATTCTCTTTCCTCCTTTTTTAATCTGGTCTCGGATATTTTTAATAAGAAAAATATTAGTTATTAAAGTCAATTATCTGAATTAAGTTAATCGTGAATCTATAACAATAACAATAACATACACATTGAACAAGCTAGCAAGATAGATATATGCTATTATTACTGGAACTTTGTAATACATGTCAAGAAACAGTTAAAATAATTACCTATCAATAGAAATTTCCAGTTACATTAATTACCACAAGATAGCAAGTTAAGCAATAAATCATATCCAACGATTTTGCATTGAACTCTACTTGTCACTTATCAACCATATATCAACGGATATGGATTGTCGGTAATTACTGATTGAAGTCATTCTTCGATAATTATCGACGGGTATATTCGTCGGTATCCATTGATAATGGTTACAAACAGCAAAATTATCGATAGATATTTGACCATCGATAAACTATCAAAAATAATCAATTATCAACGAATTTTGGTTGTTATCGACAGATTTTGTCCATCGATATTCTGTGTGTTTTTTGTAATTAAAGCTTGGCAACAGACCTAGTTAGGGAGTTTGGTAACTGATCTAAAAGAAGAGCTCAACAACTCAATCGAATAATAACTCGACAACCTAGCTATGACGAGAACCTGGAAACCTGACTTCAAGCAATGAGATAGCTTAGTCTAGGAGAAAGAGCTTGAAAATCTAGTTGTGACTAGAACCCAACAACTTGATTAGTCTTTAGGAGAATTTGACATCTTGGTTTAGGAACCTGGTAGGTCAGTCCTAGAGCTAAACAAATAGGTCCTTAAGCTTAAATTAGAAGAAACAACTCAAGTTATGAGTCTAACTAAAATAGAAAAACCAACCAGCTCAACCTAGGAGTCCAATTAGAAGTAGGATAACTCATCCAAACATACAAGAGTTCGGTTCGAGCAAGAAACACAACAGGTTTACATGAGAGTCCAACTACAAGAAAAAAAGTCTGGTTGAAAACATATATGAGCTCGACAACTTGTCCAAAAGTACAAAAATATAAAATAATTAGAATAATAATAATAATGTGATATCTGACCTAATATACAAAATATTTTGTTAACATATATTATTAAGGAATATCATGATGTAATTAAACTATTAACATTTTGTCACATATATACTTAATATATAAATATTTAGGGTTAAATATGTTTTTCATCCCTTAAGTATCACACGATTTTGGTTTTAGTCCATACTCGAAACTTTGATGGTTTTTAGTCCTCATAGTTTTGAAACTCTTACTATTAGTCCTTAAAATTAGACGGCGTTAACTTTTAGTAGATGTGGCAAACGACGAGGCCACGTTTTATGCCAGCTACCCTCTTCACTATCTGCCACGTTGGTTGTTTAAGTTAAATGAGATTAAGTGATTGACATGTGTTGTTGATTGAAATCAGATTAACAATTAGGGTTCTTAATTAGGCAAAGTTTTTTTTTCAATTGGGAAAAAGTTGTTTTACTCGAAGGGTTGTACTCCAAGCATTGTCCTCTAAACCTTCCACTCGAAGCATTCTATCAAGGTGGTCCTTGCGGTGGTCCTTGTGGTGGTCCTTGTGGTGGTCTTTGTGGTGCTCGTGAAAGAAAAGATGGGTGTGAAAGACAAGCGTAAAGGTAAGCTAAGCTATTGTTTTTCTTTTTCGGTTATGGTTGTTGTTCCAATTTGGGCATAAAGTGTTGATGTCTGAATGTAGGTCTAGAAATGGTTTTCGACATTTGTTTGCATCACATGGGGAAGTTTGTTACTAATAAGGGGCTACAGTATGTTGGAGGAGAGATACACGTGATCAAAGGACTTGATCCGGATCGTTGGTCATATTTTGAAGCAGTTGGAATAGTTAAAGAATTTAAGTATGATGCAGACTTCAAACTATGGTGGAAAGGGTCGAAACAAAGGCTGATGAATAATGTGAGATTATTGAGTGATGACAGGGAAGAACTGTATTTGGCTAACTATGTAGAGGAGAATAAGGAAGAGGTAGAAATCTATGTTCAACATGTTCCTAGTGAGGCAGTGGAAGTTCACTTTCTTAGTTGTGGTGAAGTGGCAGATAAAGGAAACATAGACATGGAGGAAGTGGTTTCCAAAGTGGGTGACGAAGAGGTTAATTTACATGAGGAAGAAGTGGCTGAGATTGTAGAAGAGGGTGGAATGGGTCTAGAAGAGGGTGATGGTGCTGTAGAAGAGGGTGAATGTGTTGAGCAATAGGGTGTTAATGTGGCCGGAGAGGTTGAAATGGGTGAGGAAGAGTGTAATGATGGTGAGGAACATGAAGAGGTTGAAATGGGTGAGGAAAGGGAAGAGTGTGATGGTGATTATGAACGTGAAGAGGTTGAAATGGGTGAGGAAGAAGAAGAGTGTGATGGTGGTGATGAACATGATTATCTTCGTGAAGAAGAGGAATGAGGGAATGTGGTTGAGGGGGAAGTAGAAGCTTCAGCTGAAGAATGTCTGGATGACAGTGAAGAAAACATAATGACTAATGATGATGATGGGTTTGGTGTTGAGAAGGATAGGGTGAACCAAGTTCGTAGAAGAAACGTGTGACTAGAAGAGGCAATGTTAGGAAGGTTCATTTATAATGAATGAAGAAGTTGGAGATCATGACATCAATGAAGAATACAATAGTGATGAATTGGATTCAAATGTAGATAGTGATGAGGATGTGAGGTTGAAAAAGGGCAACTTTAAAAAGTATAGACAAGATGATATGAACAAGAACTTCAAATTCGAATTGGGGATGGAGTTTTGTTCATTGAAGGAATTTAAAAATGCACTAATGGAGCATAGTGTATTAAATGGAAAAGAGGTTAAGTTTGTGAAGAACGACTTGAACAGAGTAGGGGCAGTTTGTAAAAACAAATGTGGATTTCTTATTATGGCTAGCAAGGTAGGAGGCAAGCAAACATTTAGGGTCAAAACCTTGGTTGGACGACACTGTTGTGGAAGGGTTTTTGGAAACAAAAGTGCAAATGTAAACTGAATTGCACGAGTATTAGTAGACAGGTTTGTAAATGTGGCTAACATGACAGTCAACCAAATCATTGATGACATTAAGAAGTCATTCAGTGTTGGAATAATTGCTTGGAAAGCTGAAAAGGCCAAACAAATTGCTTTGGATTCTTTGGTTGGTGATGGAGAACAACAATATGGTTGTCTATATGATTATGTAGGTGAATTGGTAAGAGTGAAGTCTGGAACCTTTAAAATTAAAGTGAATCAACCCCAACCAAGTTTGCCACCAAGATTTGGGTCATTTTATATGTGTTTAGAGGGTTGTAAGCAAGGCTTCTTAGGAAGTTGCAGGCCCTTCATAGGGGTAGATGATTATCATCTGAAGACAACATATGGTGGTCAGTTGTTGGTGGCAGTGGGCAGAGACCGCAATGACCAATATTTCCCACTAGCTTTTGCTGTGGTTGGAAATGAATGCAAAGAAAGCTGGAGATGGTTTTTGATACTACTTTTGGATGATATTGGTGGCATTGATTGTCAATGATGGGTTTTCATTTCTGATCAACAAAAGGTATTTTCATTTTAATGTTTTCCTATTTTTATTTCGTAGTAGTGACATTATTTACTATTGACCAAGACCTTTTGGGTTTCGCAGGGACTAATGACAGTTTTTTTATGACATCTTGCATGGAGTGGAACATAGATTGTGCTTAAGGCACTTGTATAACAATTACAAGAAGAAATTTGGTGGAGGAGTGCTTATTAGAAATCTTATGATGGGGGTTGCGAAGGCCACATTTCAACGGGACTGGGAAAAGAAAATGGGTGAGTTGAAGAATGTTAACATTGATGCTTACAATTGGTTGCTAGTTATTCCAACCAAGTGTTGGTGTAAACATGCATTCAGTAGTTATCCTAGATGCGATGTCTTGATAAATAATTTGTCTGAGTCATTTAATAGTACAATTTTAATAGCTAGAGACAAACCTATCATAACTATGATGGAATGGATTAGAACTTACATTATGAGTAGGTTTGCAACACTTAGTGAAAACGCAAAGACATATATAGGAGTTGTGATGCCTAAACCACGAAAAAGGCTTGATAGGGAAGTAGAGAAGAGTGGAAATTGAATTCCAACTTGGGCAGGGGCTGCAAAATTTGAAGTCACTCACGGGTTTACAATGGACAAGTTTGTAGTTGACCTAAGTAATCATTCATGTAGTTGTTACTTTTGGGATTTGGTAGGAATACCTTGCAGACACGCTATGGCTGCCATAAATTACAAAGTAGAAAACCCTGAAGACTATGTACATCCTTATTACAAGAAAGAGACTTATGAAACTTGTTATGGCCCTGAAATTGTTCCAATCAATGGACAACAACTGTGGTCTACTTTTGAATCTGGTGCGCTACTGCCTCCAATTTATAAAACACCCCTGGGAGGCCTAAAAAACTAAGAAGAAGGGAGGCTGATGAATATGTGAGTCATACAAAATTGTCAAAGAAGAATCTTGTTATGAAGTGTAGCAGCTGCAATGAATTTGGTCATAATGTAAGAACATGTAAAAGGGGAAAGGAAAAGATACAAAATCACTCTTTTACAACTTCACTTATTTACACATTCATAATTATTTACACTATGTAATTACAATGTCACTTACTTCCATTTACAGAACACAAGGGGCAATTCAAGTGCAGGAGAATCTGGCAACACAAGGGCAACTTCCACTGCAGGGGGTTCACAAGCACAACCAGCTCCATCAACGTCACAAGGTGGAGGAACATCAAGAAGGGGGACTTCTCAAGTAGAACGACCTCAAACAACATCACAACCTGGATCAAGTGACAGTGGAGTAGGACCTGCAAGAAGTCACCAAGGTGGAAGAAGAACATCCTCACGACTACTGGCTGCACAACATCTAGGGTCCCAAGCTAGTACCAATTGAAGATTTATTGTAGCCAAACATTAATTTTAATGTATTTTGTAAGTCACAATCACCCAGTTAGGGAACAGCAGTAGTGGGTACAGTGGTTGCTTTTAACATCTACCATCATATGTAACTGTAAGGGACCACTTAACTTACTTTAGTACTGCTATTACAATATTTTTTGTCAGTGGTAAGGGACCACTTAACTTACAATATTTAATAGTATGAGACCACTTCATATTATTCCAAGTTCAGATTTACAAATGTTTGGTCAGGCTTTTACTTACAAATGTTTGGCTGCTTAGTCAAGCAGGATACTCTGCTTCGTCAATTTTAGCAGGTAAACTCAAGTGGCATCTCTGAGTGGAGGCAGTTCCGGGAGATGGAAGTGGGTGAACCATGAGTAGCTGTTTATAATTAATTTTAAGGAGTTAAGAACATGTTCTTCTATTCATTGCTAGTGCTATTTGGGTAAAATAATTATTTTTAGAAAGCTATAGGATTGTTGAATGGTAGTTGGAAGGAAGGAGGGAACTACCGAACGGTAACTGGAAGGAAGGATGGAAGCAAAGGATGATCGGTAGCCAGAATGAAGGAGGGAAGTACCGAACGGCAGTTGGAAGGAGGAGGGAAGTAGATGTCGAGCGGTAGCCAAAGGGAAGTATGGAAGTATAGACAGTTCGGTGTCTATACTAATATCGTTCGGTGTCTATGTTGCCTAATGTTTTCTTTATTAACATAGAACAAAAGTCCATTAACAGTGGAATGTTAAAGGGAAAAAAATTCATCAAGTGGCAACACAAGTAAATAATTTGGAGAATTTAGTCAGCAGAATTTGGAGACAAACTCAAGTACCTCATTTTATTCAACCATAATTCTTAATTACAATTCATCTTCAACAAAAACATAATACAAAAGAAAATTGTTAACGCCCATGACAAAACAAACAACAATATCATTTTTCCAACTTTCTTCTCTTGTTCTAATTTCCTTTTCAGCTTGTCGTTCTTCTTCCTTAAATCCAGTACAAGTTTTTCATTTTCCAAACACATTCCAAGTTCTTCATGTTTTCTTTCAAAGCTTCCTTCAATTTTAGAAACTCCTTCATCATGTCATTCAAAGTAATTACAACTTGAATTACTCTGCAATCAAAATAACACACGATTAATACAAAATTCAGCACATGAACTGAAAGATTTAATCACTTACTGCCCAATTTCTACATCTATAAAACAGTCTTCCTTTGTTCTTCACAATAGTTGCCTTCAAAAGCAACAATGTTTCACCACAACACACAATTTAGATGGTAACCGTGAAGATGATCACAACTTTGTGACTTTCCCGAACCAATTGACCTTCGCGTCCAACCATTTCCTCCACTCTCACCTTTCATTTCACTACAACAAAGAAATCCCTTCATCAGCTTTCGTGCCCACCCAAACCCTATATCCCCAATCCTTATATTCACACGAAGAACAACAAAACAAAATGTATCAACTTACCTCCTCAAGAAGACGAACTCCAACCTTCAGATCTACCTCCTCAGCTTTCTTTGCCCCAACTGCATTCACGAAGAAGAACCCAACTTCTTAAAATCTCATTTATAAGAGATGACGAAGTGCGCTTCAACCAAATGCGCACTTAACATACTTAATCTCATTTCAAAACTTAAACAACCAACGTGGCAGAGAGTGAAGAGGGTAGCTGACATAAAACGTGGCCTTGTCGTTTGCCACATCTACTAAAAGTTAACGCCGTCCAATTTTAAGGACTAATAGTAAGAGTTTCAAAACTATGAGGACTGAAAACCATCAAAGTTTCGAGTAGAGACTAAAATCAAAATCATGTGATACTTAATGGACGAAAAATATATTTAACCCAAATATTACCAACAAATATATCTCAAAACATTTCCATCATTTTAGATTAATAAAATAGACATTCTTGAGCCTAACTTAACAGAGTTTTTTATCGGATATGTACAATATTATTTATTAAAATTTAGCCAAAATAATGAAAGTTGTAGGATTCATACATAAGTGAGTAGGTTTTAGTTATGATTTTATAAGTTTCTAGAAGATGTGTTAAAAGGAATGTTTCAACTAGTGCATAAATCTGTAACCAGCTCTCATACATTAATTCCTTATCCTTGATATAATAAGAAAATCTTTATACATATTTCTTTCTTTATTTTATATATCAATATAAGGCATTTTTTATATTTCAGATTATTCATTCTCTCGTAGTTATCCATTTAAAATTTCGAACTGAGTGTTTCTAGATTATCATATAAATAAACCTTTTTATATTGGAATTAAAAATTTTCGTAATGACACGTAATTAGACTTAGTAGTACTGGTGCAATAAAGTTATTAGTTTGATATGATACTATGAACGTCAAAACGGGTAACTCGCTGTCCGTCTTGACTCGACCCACCACGGGTTAGTAATCTAGTGAGCCAACTCAATCCGACTCATTTGTTAGAGAGTCAAAAAAAATCGAATCCGATTCAATCCACCACGGGTGGGTTAAACGGGTTAGTTCATTGACTCACTTAATTAACTTTTTTTTCATCTTTTTTTCTGAGATTCTTATACTTTGATCGACGAAATTGAAACAATAATAATTGGACCAATTGATATAAAAGAAAATAAAACAAAAGAAATATATTGTTATATATATTCTAAGCTATTAAGTATAAAATTTTGCCAATTTAGTTTAATAAGACATACACAACCGTTTGACCAAGAAACTACATATATAACCGTTAACAAAAATATATAGCACAAGATAAAACTGTCATGCTTGTACATAGGGCTAAAAACAAATAAAACAAATCCTGAATTATCAAATCTATAATATTATCCATCTATTAAATTGGAGTCATGAATGGATAAATCCACATTATTATGCAATCTTGAAACATCTTCTTCTTTATCTCCATCTATAATATTATCCAATCTGTAATCTTACGGTTTTATTTCCAGAGGGGAACTTTTGGAAAAACAGCAACGAGAAAGGCTTTATTGCTAAGTAAAGGTTGTGCGTTTTGAATAATTAATTTAATTAATTTGATTTCAATAAAAAAAATAGAATTTGAATAATTAATTTAATTAATTTGATTTAATTAAAAAAAATAGGTGGGTTGGTGAGCAAGTCCGACCCACCACGGGTTCAACCCATGTGAGCTGGATTCTTAGTAAGCCGAGTCAAAATTGACTCACATCAAACTTTTTAAATTTTTTTTCAACCCAACCCGACTCAAGCCCATGATGAACTGGGTTGGCTCACGGGTTTTAACCCATTTTGACGACACTATTATCAACAATAAGAAGGATTCAATAAAATTTAATAATAATAACAAGAGATTTGTAGCTGATAAATATATATTTTATTAAAATGTTAAAATATTAATGTTCCTACTAAAGTGTTTAAAGGATTTAAAGTTTTTCCTTTCTCATAATAGATAAACACGACGATTTATTTTTCCTTCCATAGATTTTGCTTGCTTATAAATATGGTATATTAGTTAGCCAAGAATATATCATCACAGAAATGGCGTTTTGTTCTTCAAAAGCGTCATTACATGTCCTCTTCTATTTCTTATTCGCCATTTATTTTCTTAGTTTTGAGCATTGCTGTGTTGATGCAAACTCAAACCTAATTGTGCATGATGCCACCAATGTTTCCCGTAAAGCAATTCCTGACACTTTCCTTGGAGTATTCGTTGAGGTACTTTTAAATATATATATATA